GACACCGTGGGTGCCGCTGACTCTGTTCTCTCCCCGTGGCGCAGCTACATCCCCAGGGACAACAGCCTGCAGTCGGAGACCGTGCACTACAAGCGCGGGGTGTGCCAGCAGTTCTGTGTGCCCTCCCACACCGTCGACCCCTCTGAGTGGAGCGAGGAGGAGGTGGGTCCCACCGGCCCGTGGCATCAACCGCGGGGTCGGGTACGGTTGTTGGACGTGGGATGAAGCCTCCATTGCTGCTCCATCTCACCAAGCCTTTCCTCCTGTCTCTCTCCAGCTGGGCTTCGACCTGGACCGGGAGGTGTACCCCATGGTGGTGCACGCGGTGGTGGATGAAGGAGAGGGTGAGGAGGGGGTTCCTTGCTGGGTTGGGCTTGCCCAGTTGCTGGCATTGTAATGCCAACCCTTGCACCAACCGGGCAGAGCCTCCTGCTTTGCCTCGCTGCCACCGTGGCTCTGCCCGTCCCCTGAGCCCTGCCCGTCCCTTTGTGTCTTGCAGAGCACACTGGGCACTGCCACGTGCTGCTGGCCACCTTTGAGAAGGTAAGTGCCAAGCTGGGGGCTTCCTCCCCCTCCTACCCCCTCGCCCACTGGGTGCGAGAGCCTGGAGAAACCCCACGGGGCTCAGGACGGTGCTTCTGGGCTGTTTTGGGGCTGCTCCTGAAATTCTGGGACTATCCTCTAATTTTAAGCACCCATTTTTGAGGCATTTGGTCTCAACTCCATCTTCCTCACCCCAACAAGTCTCCAGCCTTGCAATGCGTGTAACATCCCACACCTGCCTGGTACCAGGGTGTCAGGGGAAAAAAAGCAGAATTGCTGCAAAATGGGCCGGTTGGGAGCGCCGACAGCTACGGGGCGGGTGGGTGCTCGAGCACGGCTGTCCCTGGGGTCTCCGCACCGGCGCCCACCCATCTGCTCTCCTCCCTCCAGCACAGCGACGGCACTTTCTGCGTGAAGCCCCTCAAGCAGAAGCAAGTGGTGAGTGTCTGGGTGTCCCCACTACTGCCCTGCACACCCCTGGGGAGGAAGGTGGCGAGGGGCTTTCGGGGTGCAGTGAACCCCTGTGTGGGCAGCAGCCTGGCCCTGCCTTGCTCCTGCTTCCCAGGGAGCTTGGGGACCACCGGCGATTTCAAGGGCATCCACGCAAAGAGAAGCCGCGGACATTGGGGC